CTTTGTTACTTAGAAATTGTAAGAAAAGAAAATTGAAGTACATTTAAATGGAGGTTTTGACCCATGCCTGAACTGTTACAGGTTGCCAGGGTGTTACTACAGTGAGTTTAACCACTCCTTTCCAGAATGGTAAAACAATTCTGGACAAGATTAAGTTACTTACTGCTGCTTTCTTTTCACAAAAGGCCTTCAAAGCCTCCATGAGTCCCTGTGTAAGGCGAACAACAAGTGTTGCTTCTGAGTCTGAGGTGATGTGAAAAGTCTCCTGTGAATAAACATGGTTAGAATTGGTCACTAGGATGCCAAAGGGTCAAATATACAAACACATCAAAGTTATACTTCAATTTTTGCATAACCAAATTTATACTATTGGTTAACATATGGCATGTATGATAAATGTATACAAAAATATAAAAAATAAAATTGGGAGTGTAATTATGGCCTGATAAAAGGTAACATGTAAACTTGGATTTCTGTGCCACTCCTGTACTGTCGAGTCCATAAATATTTTGTTGCAGACAGAGAAGGGCACAAGTCCTAAATTTATATTATCTGTGTAGAAAATTGAATAAAAAATAAGCTTCATGCAGATTACTAAGTGAATGAATTTATAAGTGATTACAGTAAGTTAAAAGAATATAGGCAGTTTTTTTAAGGAATAGCTGTGATTCCTGTACATAAAAGTCAATTAACTACCAAGTTTTTTTGTAGTTTACTGATTATGCCTTAGACTTGTTTTTTCTCTCTCTCTTTCTGAAGTCACAAGTAACCATAGTGTGGAAGATATGAAGCACACATTTCAAAACATTCTACTTCTGATTTTGGTTCATAAACACAATTCAAATTCAAATGAAATTTTCCAATTGTCTTAGGTACAGAACATGACTTTCACAGAGTAAAACAGTGAACACAAATGGTCAGGTATTTTCATAAATTCAAAAGACAAACTGAGGCTTACTATGCCACTGTCAACAGCAACAGAACTGATAAAACTTCCCCAATCACTCCAAGACCAGCAGTTGTGCTCTCTCTGGCAGCCAGACCAGACTGGCTCCTCTTGCTTAGCATTATCAACAATCCCATTAGATAAGGGCAGCCAGCAGCACTTGAGCACCATCAGTGCTGCTAATTAACACTGCTTGTCAGGGTGGCTCCTCAGCAAATGGGAGAGTCATCCACAGAACAGGCTAAGAGCTCACATTTAATCCAGCCAATTGCTCTGAGCTACAGCTGCACTAACTTTTGAGGGCAGAGTCCACTAAAAAAGAAATTAATGTTGCAGTCAAATGAGTTTGATCAGTAATCAGAGGGTCCTTCAAACAATATTCACTGCATCATACTGGTAAAACATCACAACTCTCATCACAATTATTTTACATACATACCAAGAACTCCAGAGCTTTCTGTTTCCGAACAGGATCGTTCTGTGAGATTGTAGAATAGGGGAAAAAACATTTAAAAGACTGAATTTTACTACAGTTGTTGCATCATCTTGTACAGAATCAGACATTTTAATCTTTTATCCAGCAACAAAAGTCAACATAAAGAAAATATATAATTTTAGGTCGTAGCCATAAACATGTAACCTTAGATGCTGAGTATCAGTTTGGTAGCTGTTGCAGCCAGAATGGCCACTAGTAAAGTCCAGGGAAGGAAGCAAAAAAGGCCTTTGCATAATATCCACAGATGTTTAATTCAGCAACCTAGTAAGATGTTCAGAGTCCCAGGCACACTCATGGGAGACTGCAGGTTTCTCTCTCCCAAGGGGCAGGGGGTAACCCTGGTCTCAGGGCAGTACAAAGACCAGGGCCAATTGGGGAATAGACAGGGAGTGGTTTAGGGACATAGGAACAGAGGAAGGAGACAATGGGGTCTTAACAGCTTTTTGAGGGCAGCTTCTTGTGTCTCCCTAACCTAGGGGATAAGCCCCAGGGTCTCCTCAGGTTGCAGCTACACCAATACAACTGCTTTCCTTCCAATACCTGGAAGAACACATTTCACATCTAGGCCATACACCCTACAGGAGCTATCTTTCCCAGCCTTTCCTAACTCAGGGGCAAAATCACGTTTAAAAAAGTCAAGTGCTCAGCTGCATTTAGCATAGAACCTGACCAGCCTGAGGCTCACACAACCAACTCTTCCACCAAGATAAAAAACAAGTCACTTCTCAGTGTTTGTCTCCAGAGCTAATCAGGACAGATACTTCAGTGATCATTTTGAATTTCACTTCTGAGTTATAAAAAAGGATTGCAAATCTTTAGATATATCTCAAGATTTAAACCAAACTTTCAGTACAGAATAGTCTTGAACTGAAGAGGAACAAAAGAGGGAAGGGGAGACTGCAGCACAGGCTGGGAGACCTGGCCTGGAAACACTGCCTCTGAGATTCAGTGGCTCTGAACAGGATTTATGAGAGCTAAGGTGAATGTACTGTTCCCCTCTGCTGTGATGAACAAAAACCTCTGACTCATTAGATCAATTGCTTCTGCAACAATATTAATAAAATACTAAATGAAGCCAAAGAATAAGCATTTTCCAGAAAAATTAAAAACAAGCATTAAGAAACTGCTACAACATGAGACACTTGTGGGCATGTGAACACTTGTGTGGAATTACTGCCTCTACATACCTCATGCTTATTATCATCTTCCCACCTTAAAAAAAAAAAAGAAATTACAGTATTAATATGCATTCTAAAACATTAGGTTTTCTCAAAATATTTCAGTTTCCAAATTTTTATCACTTACCAATACTGGGTATCTTTCTCTAAGAAATAACAGTGTTTTAAATATGCTGTAAATGTCCTTATTCTGACCGACTCTCAAAGAGACCAGTAGCACAGATGAACTTGTTTACAAATCAGCTAAAGGAAGTGACTAAAATAATGGTGAGTTGGGTTTTTTCTTCCTATATAAACAGCTATAAAACTTAATCAGCCAATGACATCCCACATAGAATGGAAACAGTTTGAAATTTCAATTGCAATTACCTTTTGAGTGCAGTATTTCAAAAGCCATAACTGCTATCTCCTCACAGACAAAAAGGAACAATTTACAGAAGAGGAGTAATTATAGTGGAAAGACAATATAAAATACTTTCCCATATGATATTTGATACAGGAAAACAGATTTAAGAGTCTCTTTTGATTCTCCTGTGCAGACAGTACTCTCACCTTGCTTTCTTCTTCAGTGGGGCTATAAAATGAGAAAAAGAATTATTAGCAACATCACAAGGTTTGCACTGTATTACTGTGACAGAAGCATTAGACAAACAGAATAGTTACTGGCCATGATGTAGCTGCAGTTTCTGTAAAGAGCAGGATTCAGCAGCAAATGGCACACACTATCTTAAAAACCAGCAGGCATCCTTGCTGGATAGATAGTCTGTGGGAGACCTGTGCCCTAAAGGCTTTGCAGGGTACCCTACAAGCATCTATGTTCAGGCAGCTGAATCCCACACAAGAAGGCTGTATGGAATAAACTGAGGTGGGCCTGTCTCCTCCATGAAAAAAAGATACAAGGTATGCATATGGGTTTTTTTCCAAGTAAATACCAGTGAACCTAACAGCTGTACATACAATAGCTAAATTTCCAACAAGAAGTTATAGAGGTTGGAATGTCTGATCATGTCATCTCTATCAGTGTATAAGCATGAAGAGAGAGGGAAGGAAAGCTCAGCAAAACAAGGCAGTCTAACTATGATTCAGAGAACCAGCTACTGCATGGTACATAACTTATCACTTCCTTAAGCATTGTGTTCCAGGATATGCAACAGAATGTGTAATAGTTCTCTGGACAAGTGACATCTTTGGCCCTACCAAGACAAGGCCAAAAGACCTGTGTTGCCATGTTAGCCAGCTCCCATTAACACGGTTAACACATGCTATGAAGCTGTTAATGTCCATTTAGTTACTTGGCACACTCATACCTGTGTACTAGTGGCCTTTCTTAATTATATCCCCAAACTCATTCTCACTGTCAGGAGAGTTTTGACATTTGCCAACATGATCTAGTCTAAAGTTACTTACTGCTGCTAACACAGTAACCATGATTTTCTTCTAAATAACCAGAAGGTTTTTTTTTTGGAATTCACTTGATGATGACCTTATCACCTAACCAGAGTACACCTTTATATCGAAAGACACAACGCTTTTGCAGGTAACTTCCCTCTTGTCCATTTTTTCAGAGTTCATATCCTGTTGGACAGGATATGATCTGTGTGGGATCACTCTTTTTGATGTTCCAAATTGATATTTGATGATGTCTTCCACTTCTACAGAAGTCTGCTGACTTGATTGATGTCAGTTTACTCTGAACTGAAAATTACTCAGCTAATTACCAGGGTGACATTCCCTCTTCTTCACAAGAGACACAGAAACAAAAAAGATTTCTGCCACCTTGTTTTGCAGACTAATATTCAAAAGTACAAGGCACAGAAGCCACCAGTGAGAAATAAAAAGAAGGAAAAAAAAAAAGGGAAAAAAAAAAAAAAGGATTCACGCTGACAAAGTCTGTTGATCTGTGCAACCTTCACCCACTTCAATCAAACCCACCTTCCTTCTGATAGTAACTCTAGGGTTAAGAGGTAGCAAGGAGGTATTCCTCCAGATTGGCATCATTAAGTATCTATAACACACCTACTGTAACAAAATATGTAACTCAGCCATACTGGATGAAGGAAGATGTTTGGTTTATGTTTGTGGGTTTGGTTTTCATCACTTGTTTCAATGGATTTGCTAAAGAATGATAATTTCCACTTTCACCAGTGATTAGCATGTAAGTCTTCTGATGATGGAAATGAGGTAGAGGAGACTTTGTCAGCTTATTCAGAGAAAGCCATCAAGTACCACTTTTCCCTACCTTTTTACTTCCTTTATGATCAAATTATTGCAGTTACCATAAATACCTCCAGAACCCAGAAGTTAAAAAAATCAAAGGAGGACTGGAAGTACGGCAATTTCCTTATTTCAAAATCACAAAACCCAGAAAAATCTTTGAAAAACATGTTGTGGTATTACACGTTAAATGTTTTACATCAGTCAAACCCTTAGAGTTCAACTAGTAAGTCAAATTAGGCCAAATATCAATTATATCAAAACTACTATATTAAAGAAATTCACAGACTTACATGAGGTAGCTGGTCTTGTGTAACCTTCCATCTAAAAATATAAAAAGTTTCATATTAGACTTTCTGACTAAAATTTCATAACAACAGTCTCTACTGCAACTGCCTTTAGGAAAGGAACAAGTACTTTTATTTATGCCAATATAATTAAATTGAATTCAATTAAATTCCTCGCACACAGATAAAGACTCCTGTAAATATCAATGAAATTTGAGAAACAATTTGCTTACATCTGAGAAAATTTAAGTTGCAAACATTAAAAATTATTGAAGTTTAAGTAATAAAATTTCTGAATCACTGAATTCAGACTGAACAATTTTCAATTTAAAACATTTAAAACCTTAAAAATATAAAGCTTTGGCTTTTTTCGGATTAATTTCAATACTACTGTTCTTTTCCCTGGATCTTTCAGGGCAACCTAAAGGTAAGCCTTAGTTCAACTCACTACTGCACTTCCTAGAAACACACAGAAAATTTAACAGGCTTTGCCAGCAGTACTTTTAAAATTTACTCTATTAAACATAAATGCACTAATAAAAGACACATTAACAGATACTTAACATTTACTTCCAATTACCTGATACATTTTTAATCCTTCACTCTTCTCTAGTTCTCCGGCTAGCCGTCTAAAAAACGAGACTTTGTATTCTCTTACATCTGTTGGTTTTCTCCTCATTTTATCTGGAAATTCTTTGGACTGTTAAAAAAAAAAAACCAGCTTGAAAAGGTTAATATAAAAATTTATCACAATATTAAAAAATTTACATATTTCATCTTCTGGAAAAGCTTCCAAAAGACTGGTAAACATTGATTTGAATATTATTAACTAATTTCTTCTCTGCAACATATCTAATCGAATTTTAGAGCTACTAACATAGTCTACATAGTCTTCATAGTCTTCAAAACAAAAAATGGATACCATGCAAAGCTTGCTACCAAAAGGAAATGCCCTCTGTGCCAAATCCAGCAATGCTATGGACATGCTGGGGAAAAATAAAATCACATTGTTTTTAGAACCTGATCCTAAAAGCAATCTAAATACTTAGGAACAGACTGCAAAGCAGAAACAGACAGGCAGCCCTGGACTCCAATGCCTCAACAGCCCACAGCATCAGAGCTCTTCATGCTGGCCTGACCCAGAGAGAGTCAACTATACAGGCACTGGCAATTTATCTTATGGGTTTTAAACTTCAAACTATCTAATTATTTAGAAAAAAAAAATAGAAGGGGAGTATCATAAAGAAATTTTGATCAAAATGCACCAAAATTACTCACAATGTATTCTCTTCTGTGTTTATATCCACTAAGATGTTCTATCATAGGTGCCACCTCTGAATTACACCCACACAGCCTGCACTCGTAACGTGGCTCTCTTCTTCCTTCAAATCTGATTTCAACCACATGTTCTAAACCTGTAAGTGAAAGAGTTACAAATATCTCTATTTTACTACAGACTACTAAAACAAATGTATTCTTTTCAATGCTGCTCATCAAATTCAAAATTAATGTATTAAATTATTCAATTTCCAAAATTTGATACTCCTTCAGGATCCCTTCAACACTTATTTGGACTTATTACCCAATCAGCTACATTTATCTCTTTCCAATATCTTATTCTGAGAAGAAATACACCATCTATGGCAGATTTCAAAGCCCACCAATGTCTGGGACATTTTTTCAAGAAACTAAGAATGAGAATGAGAATAGAAAATGACCAACAAATGTCTAGATTTAAAAACTGCATTTAAAATACTTAGTCAAACAATTTTTGGACAGTATCCGAGTAAAAGCAGATGTAGAAAGGACATTAATCACTTCACAAAACTGAATCTTTCATAATCTGAAAATGTTCCATAAACTTTTAAGAATCACAAGAATGAAAATGGGAATATACTTCATTTTTCCTAGAAATTACTGAGACAATCCCTTTAAAGTATTCAGAAACCTTCAAGTTTGAGGCTTCTTACCTAGCATGAAAAGTTTTATTCTGAAAAGCTTGAACACAATAAATTTAAAAGCAGTTTAAAACAAGTAGGAAAATCTTGCAGCTGTTCCTATATGTCATAATTTACAGTACTCTCTATTTGTGATGGGTTGATCCCAGCCAGCAGCCAAGAACCACATAGCTGCTTGGACACTCGCATCCACACCCCTCAGCAGGCGGGGGAGAACACAGCAAGAACAAAAGCAACAAAACTCATAGACTTAAAGACAGTGTAATAAGTTAAGGAAAGAGAGGTAAAAAAACCCCCAAACCAACCAACATGCAAAAATTCATCACTCATTTCCCCACAAGCAGACCAATACCTGCCCAGTCTCTGAACAGCCACCTTGGAAGTTAAACCTTGCTTCCCCCCTTTTTTTCTTTCCTTACCTCAACTGTGATTACTGAGCATAACATTATGTGGTACAGACTCTTTTGTGCCACTTTGGGTCAAGTGTCCTGGATGTACCACTTCCCAGTTTCTTGCCCACCCTGGCTGAGAACCCAGAATAAAAAAATAGTCTTGATGTAGGTGCACTGCTCAGCAACAGGAAAAACCACTGGGCTGTCATTAAAACTGCTTCAGTCACAAATCCAAAATATACACGTGGCTATGAAGAAATTCAACTCCATCTCAGACCTGCTACAGTATCATTCTGATAAATCTTAACTCTGAAAATAAACTATCACCAAATGAACTAAAAGTGTTCTTGCAACCCAAGTGTTTTCTATTACAAATGCTGATAGGAAAGTAGTCATGTTAAAAAGCCTAGCAATTTATTATGTGGAGTAACTACAGGACAATACACTAAACAGAGAAATTTTCTACTAATACTAGGAAATTTGCTACTTAGGTCTTCATCAGAGAACCTATTTCTCTAGGGCACCATGACACACTTGGAACACTAAGGCCACTGACAAGCAGCCTTGCTTCTCTCCTAAGGGCTGCCTAACCTAGCACTTAGAAAGAAAGCATTAAAATTAATCTCACTACTTTCTGTACAGCCAAGGACAGTGAGGAAAAATATCTCACAAAGTAGAAACATCTGTATATCCCACCAAACGGACAGTCACAAAGAACCACGACTGATGACAAGTCGCCAGTGGCATGAAGTCCAGTTGGAGGACAAGGCCAGAAGGTAGCAGTGCACCACAGGAGTCAGTACTGGATCCAGTCCTGTTCAAAACCTTCATTAATTATCTGGATGATGATGCAGAGCATGACCTCAGCAAGTCTGATGATGACATGTAACTGGGAGGGATGCAGATACACCAGAGGGTTGTGCTACCATCCAGTGGGACCCTGAGTGGCTGGAGCTGGGCTGACAGGAAGCTCAGGCAGATCAACAAGGGGAAGTGCCAAGTCCTGCATCCAGAGAAGAACAAGCCCAGGCACCAGGACATGCTGGGGGCTGGCTAGCCAGGAAGCACACTGGCTGGAAAAGACTTAGTGGACACCAAGCTGAAGATGAGCCAGCAAAGGCTGATGGTATCCTGGGCCGCATAAGGAGAAATGCTCACAGCAGGCTCCACTCAGCACTAGTAGGGTCATTCCTGGAGTGCTGTGTCAAGTTCTGGACTGCACAGTACAAGAGACATGGGCATATGAAGGGCCGTGAAAATGACAATGGTACTAGAGCATCTCTCCTATGAGAAAAGGCTGAAAAAGCTGGAACTGCTCAGCCTCAAGAGATCTCATCACTGTGTATAAATACTTGAAGTGAGGGTGCAAAGAGAGAGCTGTTTTCAGTAGTGCCCATGCATCAGGACAGGAGGTAATGGCACAACTGAAGCAGAAGATACTGTCTGAACATCAGGAAACACATTCTGACTGCATGTGATTGAGCACTGGAATAATTTCCCTGAGAGATTGTAGTTTTTCACCCTGGAGATTTCCAAAAGCTATCTAGACATGGTCCTAGACAACCTCCTCTGGGACTTGAGCAGGGGTTAAGATCAGCATAGGCCCCTCCCAACCTCAACCATTCTGTGATCTGGAAAAAGCTTCTTCAGTTAGATGGCTCCTTCAGGAACAAGTTAACAGTTAAGGAGGCCTTTATAATACCCAGTGCAATAGACTAAAATTAAAATGGTATGAGATAGGTAAGTTATTAAATACATTTACAGAAAATGAAACAGTAACTAAAATCCCACTTTTTGTTTCAAAAGAAAGCTATTTGGTAACAAATTCAAAGGCATACAATTTATAAAACGAAAAAAACATACCAATTAGAGGCTCTTCTCTTCTGGGATCATTCATAAAATCCTTCAGACAGGTTATGTATCCTGTGAATGATCTCTTCACTGAAGTAAAAAATACACATAAAGAGACATTACAATTATATAGTTTACACATAATGTCTATGATCTTAAAGGAGTTTCTAATGGGAGACTTTAATGGTGACAAAATTCATTTGCACTCTGAAATGAGTAAGGAAAATCAGCAAGACCTCAGTCCCCCACAGAAAAAGTCTTTCTTTTCCATAACAATTTTATACAAAAGGATTTAATGTCTTCAAGAAAAGAACCAAATAAGAACACAAGACCTCTAACACAATTCAGTTTACTGAGGAAAGATACCAAGTTCACATGCATAGCATGAACATGACTGTGTCAGTTCTCATGAAAAAAAGAAAATCCACCAACCTCCTCCTCCCCTAAAACCCTAACACTCATACAGCATTTTGGGGTTGCCTGTCAAGAATTATATACTGCCTTAAAGCTAACAAGGAACACAATCTTCAGTAACATGGCAAATACCTTTTGAGCTCTGGGCAGCCCAAAGGCTGCACAGACACAGTCAGTATATTCCCGAGTCCGAACTAGCAATGTTTCAATCAAGGTTCTAGCTTGCTCCTCACTGAGTTATAATAATCTGTTTTTTGCTCTGCCTAAAACACTTCTAAACCATTCCTGCTCAGCTTAGAACACCAGCAGAGTTCAGCAAAATGTATCTGCGACACAATCTTAAAGAGACATTAAATCTACTCAAATGTTGGGCATTATAAAAGACCATGAGAAAGTGTTAAAAAATGTATTTTCAATCTGCAAAAAAAGTGCAGAACTAGAATTCATCTACCTAATTACATATAACTGACCAGTAAATTACATAAGAGTAATTAACACTTCTAGTTTCTTCAAATAAGAGCAAACAATTAGAAATACCAAAATCATGGAACTGTTACTGTATTCTTTCCCACTAGGATGTCAGGTTATGGCTAAAAAAACCCCAACCACAACTTCACAAGAAGAGGGAATTCCATATTCATTCTTAAATATTCATGGCATTAGAAATGTGCCTGTGTGCCATCAAGTCAAACTGCAGAACTGCACACAAAGAAAAACTTCAGTTGCATTTAGATGAAAAACAGTGCTACAAAATATCTTGTGGGACACCTCCTGCCACAGCAACAATATGGCCCACTTTCACCAAAAGTTCAAAGTCTTCTTAAAATCCTTGAATGCTATGGTTGAGGTTTTTTTCACCTGAGGTGACATGCAGCAGTAGCCCGTGAGAGAGTCAACATGTAACAAGCTGATACCACGTAATTTATCTCCACAGACTTTTATCAACACTTAAATGCATGCAACTGTGTGCCTGTGCAGCAGCTCAGTGTGAGCTGGTTATTCCCAAGCTGACAGACAAAGGTACGTGATCTTTTGGACTTAATACAGAAAGATGCACACAGAAAAAGGTTAATGGTCTTGTCAAGGTAATGGCCAATTTCTTCTTGTTTCCTAACATACTACTAAATACTCATCTTATTATCATAACAGCAACCAACCCGTGCTGCTCTTGGTTTATATGCTTTCGGTTTGTCATACTTTACTGCACTCTGAGCATGCTGCAAATTTTTTAATTGAAAACTTCACCAACAAAAAAAACACTAGCTTGATTCACTATGATATTTACAGGTAACCACGAAGACAGAAACTATGTCTATATCTCAAGTTTGAAAGTCTTTCTGTAAAAATACTTGTAACGTCATATTCTCCTAAGATCTTTTTTTACATAAATTAACCACTGCACAGAAGAAAAGCAATGGTTCTGATGTCTGGCAGCTTGCATTGCTTCAGACCATAATAAAAACACCAGCTTTTGTCACCATTGGGATAAAACCACTGATTTCAAAGTTGCATCTGAAAAAAGCACCATTTATATCCAGATACCTGGTCTGAGCACTCGGTACTTCATTGGAACTTGGATTAGAGCTGAAGAACCTAGGACAAGAGTTTGACAGTCAGTTTACTTCTTCTTATTTGCTTTTCTTAAGTACTTAGTAGATATTTAAAACATACTACAGAATTGAACAGTTATCTTCATTCTGCAGTTTAATATAAGCTCAGTATTGACAGTTTTCTTTTTTTAACTTCATTGCTCTAAGTCTCCCATTCCACTCCTCTTCTCCATCAACACAAAATACCAAACACACAAATGTTACAGAAACTAGAATTTGATTTTTAAGTGCTTTTCATATTGGATACTTATTTTCATTATTTTAACTATTCAGTATCATATTCAATAATCAATCTATGTTCCACATATCCAACAAAAGCTTCTGGTCTAAACATTCAGAGCCTAATCACAGTCCGAGACACAATTAATATAGTCATTAAACTACATCCTCTTTTACAAAGGGGTGAGTATCTATTCCTAACCACTCAGAGCTTCAAAGTGAATGTTAAGGTGTGCACTTACACTCCTGTTGGAATTTTTCCTTTGCCCCTCTCTCCCTCAAATCCATAAACACACAACCCACTGTGCTTTAATGACGTTGTCAATATTTTGTAAGTCACAACAATCAAGATTAAAATAAGGTGATTTATTAATACTCATTTGATGGAAAAAGGGAAAGTTAAATTATTAATTATTTGTACACGTAATTCCTAATTTGAAGTAAAAAACTCTTCTACAGTCATGTTGCATACATATTTTTTTTCCTCTTTCTGCATAAGACAAGGAATTAAGCTATAGGTATCAAAGCTGGAAATCAAATAAAATCAAGGCTACAAACATTTTGCAAACAACTCTCCAGTATTAACATAAGGAAGGGGTATGGGAAAGCATATGTCCATTAATTCCTTAAAATAAATTATGCATATTTTTCATTTAAAAGCTTCAAACTATCAAGACAGTAGCAAGAAGATCCCCAGGCATTTTGCAAGTATAACCATTATTTAACATCAGAATTGTTCAATTAGTGTCTGAAGCTGAATTTACGGTTCTGGGTGCAGCACGTGCAGACAACATGGCCAAATGCTATAAGATATGAATAATATGAATAGGCATATGTGAAAAAGTGCTTTATTTAGTTTACTTCTAGTAACAAAGTGAATTTACAAAGAGAATTGCACCAGAAGCAGCTCTCAGCACGTTCTGCCTTAACACGGTTGGAGTTTACCAATATGGTCAAGTTAAAAATCAAGTCGTAGCTGTTGCTATCACTAATAGGAACAGATTGGGGGATTGAATTTTTTTAAATTAAAATAAAGAAAACGCATTAAGTAAAGACCATTGCTGCCCACAGATGTTTAACAAAGCAGTTTTGGTCTTGAAGACTCTCCCATTCAGCAATAGGTTTTTCCAGGCTAACAATTAATTCACATTTACTAGCCACATGGCTCTGTAATGTTATCAATAATATATTTCTTAAACATCTCAAAACCAAATCAAAATAGTATTTTCTCTAAAGCATATCAGACTGATCAATGAGTTTAAAATCAGCTGGCTTGCTAGGCTCAAAGGGAAACAATCAACAAATCAGTCTCCTGGTGTCCACTATGCAGCAGAATCACCCAAAGAGCAAATTCCAGGGCCCATAAGGATGCAACCCCAACCAGGTTAGTTACTGTTGGTGGCATTCATAAAACACCCTCCGACAATTCACAGACAACAGTAATTTAGGGGATACAACTGATGCCACAGCTTCAGCTGAGTGGGACCTTGGGAACACTGAAGATACTGCACAGGCAGCTCGTTGCAGAGTATTTTATCCCCCATTCTCTGGGACTTGTAAGGATTACTACTATCATCCCTATTCAGTTCAAGGGAGATGTAGAGAAAGCAGAGGGGGCCCAGCAAAATGACTACCACAACAATCCAGAGCAAATAATTTATGAGAACAGGTTTGTGAGCTGGACTTCTTTTAGACTGGTGGAGACAAAGAGGTGACATAATAGCATGGATACCTGAACAGCAGCTACAAAATGTCCAGCCCTGTAGGAATGTGACAAAAGCATTAAAAAGTAGCAGCCAGAAATAGTTGCTTCAATTCTTCTTTGAACAGAGGAGCAACTACAGACTGATTAACACAGGTAGCAGACTCTCTGCCTGTGAAGATGTTCAAGGATTCAGCAAGTGATGATCCAGCTTTGGCTGTAGCCCTGCTTCAATCAGGAAGTTAGGAAATCACCTAATCAGTCTCAGGAAATCTCTTCCACCTGATTATTTTATTTAGTAAGAACTATTTTCCAAATATTAATTATGTACACGAACAAACAAAACAACCCAACAAAACCAATTCCCCCAAAATCCCCTTCCTTTCAATATTCAATTACAGAGTGCTGAACATACAAAAGGTGGCAAACAAAGAAACATCTGTATATGTATTTGTAATGCACACCCATTCCTAATGACTGCAATAAATGTAACAGTTATGTTTCAAATCAAAGGGCAGTTTCAGACACTGGCAATTCAGCTACTCAGCAGCAACAAGGATGTCCCGAGCTCAGTGCCACACATTCCCTTTTGAGGGAAGTGCACAGACGCCAGATTCCACCACATTGAGGAACTCCCCAAGAGAAAAGCAGTAAGGGTTTTGAAATAGTGTTCCACCTTTTACTTCTATTATTATGGCTTCTGAAACATTTCCTCTTCTAGTCTGTAAGTCAGAATAGAACTTCCAGGCTTTTCCTTGGAAGACTCAGCAGTAGTTATACACCCAAAAAACAAAATCCTTATCCATTTTTAACATACACTGAGCCTGGAGGGACATGTTAAAACGTATCAGTTTCTTCAAATATTAAGCTGAAATGCTGATCAGGATTCTGGTGAGGTTATCACTGGTGAACACAAGGCAGAATCCACCACATTTGTGCCTTCAGTGGAGGAAGAACTTGTCATCACTGCTGTTTAATAACCGCAGCTTATCTTCAGGCTGGTTTCTCTCCTTGACTCCGAGTTTCACAGAATAACCATAATGAAGCTTTCTTTACTCATGGTGCAATTTACAGATTTTAAGTTGAAGGATATAGATGCAGATTAGCAGATCCAGCAGCTAAGAACATACAGCATCCTTTATTACACTTTTCATTTGTATTGCTGTAATAGCAGGACAAGATACCTCTGCATCATGCTGTAATGCAAGAAAAATTCCACAGGCTATAAAAAAAAAAAAAAAATCATCAATCCACTCCTCTGTGACATATTCATTTCACCAATACAGCTAGGCAGCCCATAAAAGGCTTTAACAGGGCTCATACTCTGTATTGTGCCTCTTGCCTGAGCTAACAGTTGTAAACCACTGCATTTTACTATTGCCCAGTAAAAGTTTGCCTGTATGTATATTGGCATTGCCCCATCATTTAGTGCCTCTTGCTCAAAGCAAAGAGCTTTCAAAACTTTTCTATTTTGGCCAGTAGACCCCAAGAAAAAAAAAGTGATGCTCATTCCCCTCCACTCCTTATCCCTGAACAAATGGGCAACTGCCTTAAAAAAATGCTCAACAAAGTATTCCATCTGTCCAATTACATGACTGTACAAAGGAATAGCATTATTGAAATTTATGTATTCAGGTGTGCTTTGACTTAACATTCTTAGTAAAGTCACAGAACTTCAGCATCTTCTATTTCCACATCTTCCATTATGTTGCTTTTCTCAGAAATGCTGAAGAGAGGGGGAAAAAAAAACCCAACCCAAAACAATCCAAGATATCCAATTCTGTCATTAAAATAAAAATAGCTTGTGGATAGTTTTGCCATATGGAAACTCACACAGTAATGTGATGAAGAAAGTCACCTTTCTTACAGGAAGTGGAACACCTCCAAAAACAAACATCTGGAATCAGATACATTTCCTCACTTAATTGACTTTGAAGTCAATATGGTTGCACAGTCACACAGGCTACATACACTCACCACTTCCAGATTATGAAGTAACTTCTGGTGGGCTCAGAAAGGATACATGGAATAAAATTTGGAAACACTCAGAATCCAAATACTTTGTATTTTTAAATTTTGGTTTACAAATGGCAGGTGTTCTCCCTACTGACAAAAGAAAATTTTTTTTAATTCTGCAGCAAGGAAGAAAATTCAAATGTTGGTGTAAAGCATTCTAAATACGTCAAGCCTCATTCTCTGAAGTACCTTCTCCTTTTTAGACAGTGTACATTTCAGATACTTGTCAGGTACGATCCCGAATTAGTTCCAAGAAGACACATCCTTCACTTTTACAACATTTTTTTTTTTCCTGGTTCTTTGAAATGTGACAGCATATTCACAGAGCTGGAGTTCAATCTCACAGGAGCATTTGATAGCATGAACATTAGATGATTGCAGATCCAGCAACAATAACAAAAGTATCTCATTAATTTATATGCTGAAATTAAATTAGATGCATGCATCTAATTTACAGTGCACCCAATTTAAAAATATCCATATTTTCCATGCTCATTCACAAAATTTTGCTACTGAATTTAGTAATTTTTGTCCATGCTTACCTCATAGGTCTACAAATAGTAAATAAAAAAACCCAGCTATTTAAAATTTAAAAATATGGAATGACAAATCCATAATTATTCTTTTGTGTCAGTAACAGAGCACAATGAATTTACTGGATCTGCCTGACCTTGAAGGAGAATTATTTATATAATTAGTAATATGTCCATGGGAGAGTTTAAGCAGTTCTACATATATACTGACTATATAATTCTGCATTTTAGTTCTCAACACCTCTGAAAAGTTACTTAAGGAAAAAGCTTTTCTAGTTGTAAAAAATCCCAAAGCAACACAACTGCAACATACAAATAAATTTCATCAGACCAAATTTCAGCCTCTTTGGACAAATAAACCCTACCAGTGCCTTGCAAATTGACCTTCCACATCTTGATCTTCAGTGAAGCACAATGCAATAGATAAAGTAGAATAAAGGAGACATCAGTAGTATTAATAATAATTTTTTATTACAAGTTTCTGATCATTTCAAAATGATTTCTGAGGCAGAGAACTTTCTGGATAAAAGCATTATCTTGCAATACCACTATATGTGGTACCCTCTGATGCTGAGACTCCTCCAGAAGTCACAACTAACTTGCTTACCAAAGCTTCTAAATTCTTCACTTTATAATAATCGGATATTTTGACTTCTTATTCTGCAGAACACATCCCAGCTGAAGATTCCAAGTCATGACACTTCCAAAGATACAGCACTTGTAGCATGCAGACATTCTTAACCCATTGATTAATTTTTAATTCTCCATGGAACACAGAGACTGTAGTACATACAGTACTGTTATCTACAGCCATACATCTTTGCAACAGGCTCCTGCACTGCACCACTCTCTTCAGTCTTGCTGCCACAACTTCTGGCCTCTTATTCACGTCACGCTTTCTACCACATGCATCCCATACATTATTCCTCCAAAACCAGATTTTATGATTTTGAATACTTAATGAGTATTACTTTTAATTATCATTTCTGAAATGAAATTCAAAGAAATCTGTAGAAAGTGTCTTTCACTAAAAGCCCTTGACCAGAACCACACAATTCTGTTCTTGCTGCTGAGATGAAAATACAATTTTGTAGCACTTGAATCCATTGGACTTTGAGAAGACTTGAAACTTTTCACAACTCTTCAAATTTTGTCAGGGAGCTTTGTTACCACAAAGCAGTCTCGACTGCTGAGGCAAAATCTCATAACTGTTCTCACACTTGAATGACATGTCTTGCACTAATTCTCTTATCAGCACAAAACCCTGAGAGCAGCTAATGAAGCCCAGTCACTTAGGAAAGCACCTCTGACCAGCATTTTCCCAGATCTTCCTTGTGTGTTGCTTCTTCAGGGTGCAGTAAGTGGTGAGCTCAGCCTTCAGCACTTCCCTCAGTACAGGACTGACACCATCACTCTTCCCTGTGCAGATGTGTATTTTCAGGCACCTCTGATCAACTTGGTTCAAAAAGGCTGAGAGGTTCAAAAGACACTGGGGAACAGATGATAAAGGTGGAATGTAAGCCTTGTTTCTTGGGAGAATAGGCTAAGAAGATAAAGTAGAAGTGAAAGGCTTGTTTCTTGTGTGACTGACTATAACCATTTTGTTTTTTAAACAGCATTCCCCCATCTTCCCTCATGCTTATGCCTCTGCTTCCTTATGTCATCATAAGTAGCTTTACAACAAGATTTTCATTTCCACTGGGAGCTAGGTATATACCAAATTTCCAAACTTTCACCATAACTCCTGCTTTTATTGACATATGACAGTCCGGATTCACATTCTCAGTTTCTTGGGGAAAAGATACCCCAACAACTGAATTCACCTTGAATACATCTTTGCTCCTCCAAGTCCACTACAATAAAGAGAGCCAGAACATTCCTGTGATGCTGCCAAGTGGCTTCAGCACTGGTAGAGCTGCATCTGCAACAGTGCTGTGTTAGACTGTGATTCAGCTTCTTAGCGTTCTGTCTGAAGCTCAGCAGTGAGTGCATCAAGCTGACAGACAAGTGGGAGACAGTTTAGCCTGAGAAGGTGAGAAACTAAAACACAAACTATACATCCCTCCACTACCAGATATATAAATATTTATATGTGAAAAGGCATAAGTAAGGTTTCATACTCTAAAACAATTCTTTGCTCAGCAGTTCACTAGACAAATCTCAGAAGAATGTTAAACATACAAAGAGAAACACAGAGACATATAAATCAGCAAATGCAAATACCTGAACTATTAGAAAAGCAACAAAACAGTAAATTCCCAAGCAATATCTATCTTAGGAGGCTTGAAGAAAAAAGTATTATACTTACAATAGAGATTCCTGCGTCTCAGGGCTTTCTCTTGCTTTAATTATGAAGATGCAAGTCATCCCAAAATAGAATAAGAAAAATAAATTAATGTGCTGCATCAAAAAGGAAAAACCCAGCACTTCCACAGAAGCCTTTGCAGATGAATTGCATTACAGGCCAAAGTTTCCACTGTCAAACAGGAAAAATTAGAGCCTTTATGATTGTCTGCAAAAGTACAAAGCTGTACTTAACACAAGGTTACTTTCAAGAAAGCCTTGTTATTTAGTCAAGTTTTAAGGGATGATTATGGCTTGAAACACATCTGAAGGATGCCAGAAAAATCGAAAGTATGATTACAGCTCCTAAGCTTTCAGAAGGTACAGTTTCAACAACCAAAAAAAAACCTTACCCCAAAAGGAAAAATTAACTAAAAGCAGTTCCCCCACCAGTTAAAGTGAATTTGGTTAAACCTTAAGGCTAGCCAAATCTCAGGAAAGATCATTCATATAATGAAGAACAGGAAAAGTGTCTTTCATTGGCTGAATCCGGAATAGATGATTGCTTTTTGGCAGAACCTAAAGAAAAGGGGAACTTAAATTTCAATTTAATAGCTAAAGCAATCCTGACTAGTTTTGACAATTTTATGGCAAGTAAACACAAACTTGTCTTTTTCAAGAACGGAACAATAAGTGTGATCATTCTACCACAGCAGCACCTCTCTGCCCAGAGCAGTCCATGGAGTTAAGTGCTGTATTTCCAATATTCAGTGGCATAGAAGAGATGCTGGACATGGGTGTGGCAATTCAAAAGGAAGCAAGACTTACACAATCATTAGCTGTCTGAGAAGCCAAGTAGCTGTACTTTCATGGCAGTTGTAAAATAAGGAAGTCACCCAAGTGCTGGTACTGCCACAGGCAGTAGACGATTTTGTATAAATTCAGGAGGATTTCATAAGCTTAGAAATACAGACACAGTGCTCCTCATAGTTATGCTGTTCCAAGTGCTTTTGTTACTCATTCTCCAGTTTTACAACAAACAGCTGCTAATGCCAAGTTTTTCAGACAAGCACAGCAAACATTAGCAATTGTGAGCTGTTGCTCAAAGAGAATTTCCTCCTGACTATTTTCAGACAATCAGCTCTGACTGCACCTGGTTTACTGCTTTTGTTAATATTAGAAATGCAGTTTCACAACTGAAGCTAAAGGGTCCATTTTACTCATGATCCCTGCTATTAGATCAGGAATTAAGATTCTCACATATTAGGTAAGAAACTTATTCTCTGTTCTGGTTCAAGGATTGCAACAACTGTTTTTGAGCTAAGACTGAAAAGTTAGAGTAACTTTTGGCAAAGTGTCTGACTTTGAGAAGCCAAAACTCAAAAATTACTGGTTTTAAGGGTTCAAACCTTCTGTGCACACAGTAGTCTGTATGAGCTACTGCATAAAGTAGTTGCCCACAAAATTGAACTTCACAAGTTACTTAACAGAACAATTTCAAGTGCATAGTTAAGTATTATATGAACATAATTTAGTTTTTCTTAAACATATACAATCTTTAAATATATCAGATATACATGAAAACTACTTATTTTAATTCTTCAAGCTCATAATAAGCAAATCAAGTTTTGGGGTTTCGCTTGTCTTCAGTTTGTTTTTTCCCCTCAAAACAAATATCCACAATTAAAGTTTCTCTGGATCATGAAGATATGCTGCAGAACACAATGGCATGCTTTTGGGACCAAATATAAACAATCCAACAGCAAAGTAATTTTCCTGTAACTAGCTACATTAGCATTCCAAGTATCAACACAAATATGTATGACTGAAATGTTTAAACAGCAATGGTTGATTTTACTGCCACAAAAAGGATGGAAAAGTTGCCTGCACATCAGGTATTTCAACCACAGGTTCAGGTGCACAACAATAGGGATAAGACACAGAAGAAATGAGAACACTGAAATGATGAAGACAAAGGCTAACAGCTCTCTTCACAGATTTGAACATTCCTTGATTCTAATGAGCCTGTAGGGTCTTGAGAACAGATTTTTCTCCTTCTGGGACATGGCAGGCATTTCTACCTATCTAACTCCAGACTTGAAGGGAGGGCAAGGAAACCTGAATCTTTGATAGAACCAGAACAACCTTCAGCTGTGTTCCAAACACAGTTCACAAAATAGGCAATGTTCTTCTGTGGATGCCATATCTGCAAAGGGCTGACCAAAACACATGGAAAAAAGATGTTCCACTCTAGGATTTCCCTTGCAAGCTGACTATAAAACTAATGCATATTTACAAAAACAGAATAAATTATATAATATACCACCATATTCCAGGTATATACACTGCAGGTGTATTTTATTTGGAGACTGTTATCGCAAAAAAACCTAAGATTTTTCCTAAGCTGTGGGAAAAAAAAGGCCAAACAAACCCATCTTTCATGCAGGATATCCCCCACTACTCTCACAGGCTTGGTTAAATTAAAAGTGTTAGTAAACATATATAAATGTTTTCTAAGCATTTTACTATAATGGCTTAAACTATAATGCAACTGTTTTTCAAAGTACCCAATACCATCCAACTCAAATTTTCAGAGCCAAGAATTATACACATATCTATGAATATTTTGGCTATTTCACTTTCTACAACTCCCCATCCCTTTAATGCCTGTTGTGCAATGAAGCCACAAAACCCCATCATTATGCTACTGTACAGAGGTCACACAGCACTCAATGCACAAGATACAAGATCACTTGTACTGCGATCATCCCAGCCATACAATCTTTCGGCCATCAGCACCTGTCTGACAAGGGTCTGGCCTTATGAACTAACAACACTAGAAAAAATTAGAGATAAAACAAAGGTATGTAGAAACAACCTAAATAAATACCTTATGTACCTATTCAAAACCCAGAATAACCAAACTACCCAGGCAGAAAAAAAAGAGATAAAACAGCTATGTACACTGAAGGTTAACTGAAGTACTCCTACAAATCTGTCAGACAGCCAAGCGTTACTACTGCAGCTATTCAAAATAACACATTTTACTTTGATAGCTACAGGAAATACAGGCCAATGAAATGAAAATAATATACGTAGCACACGTTTACATTTGTTTCTTAAAGTTTCTTAATGACCATCCTTCTGATTAACAATTTTTTCTTGCATTTTTGAAACACCTAGTGGCAGACAAGCACAGAGTATCTTCAACAATGCCATTTTAAAACAAATGGGCAACTGATAGAAAAAAGGCAATCTGACTGAAGTCATAAAATATGACTGATGGATTGGTCAGGCTAGTACTGTGGTCTAGGAGAAGAACTACTGCCTTCTCTTCATTTTGCTGTGTTTACAGGACATCCTTTGGTATTATTTTGAAAAGGAACTCCTCTAGTAAGGAACAAACTAAGAGCTATTCACAATCTACACCTACCCTGCATTAAAAAGAAACACAAGCTCAGGACTTTATAGTTACTCCAAACCTAGTGGTACAAAACTCTCAATCCATGAGCGCTCTCATTTTTTTCCACCAAAACACACAATAGATTTCATAATTTAAAGGAAGAAATTGGAGATAACTGAAAAGAATTATGATGCGAGCTTGGAGAGTTACTCCTACAGCAATGCAACTTGTGAATGACCACAACTCCACACCTAACAAAAATCCAGTTTTCAACCTGTTCTACTCTTGTTCACTCTCAGCTCAAAGATTTCACTGACAAGAAACTGAGAGATTTAGCCCAGCAAACATCCAAGCATGAAAAGAAGGAAAACTATATGCAGATTTTGTAAGAAAATAAATGCTGTGTTTTCTACTTTTTAAGGGAAAACCAGGAATAACTAGATTGCTGAAGTTAGCTAAGAAAAAAAAAGAAACAACAAAAACAAAGGAATTCTTTGCATCAGCAGGAACATTTGGTAGGACATGAAAAATATAACTGTACACTTCTACTCGATCAATGGGGAGCAAGAAGACTCATTCCAGTGAGGAGAAAAAAGGGGCTGGAGAAAGTTGAGCCACTGACTCAAGCAAGAATCAATGCTATTAAAGTGATAGCAAACAGGTAACAGAATACTATTAATCTGTCTCAACAGCAAAGAGATGGGGAGATGCCCTTCATTCCAAAAAAAAAAAAAAAAGAGGGCACACCATCACTTGAGAAAGGCAATTTAGCTGTTAGTCACTAATGTTGCAAGAATAAAGTGTCATTACATTAAGAAAACATCAGAGCAAGCTCTTCAGTGCCACAACAACACAATCTGATGGCAGCAAAGAGTACAGACAACTGAGTTACATCTCACCTTTACAGACTGAGAATGTATTGGAATTTTAAACAATCATCAGCCAATCAACTCAGTATTTGTAAAGGCCTCATCTCTAAGTACACCCTTAGAAGACGGTGCCTAATTATTTTAAGCCTTTGCTTGTTTTGTGCTTACACAAGGGAGCAGATATTATGATGCTTCAAACCAACACAAATGTCAGACTTGACAGCAAAGTCTATGTAACTCCTTCAGGAAATCAGAACTGATGTTACTATCAAAGTAAAGAGTAAATTCATTTTATTCAAAGTACAGGAGAGTTACGTAGACTTGGAAGACAGAACAGTATTTTTACCAACTACATCTGAAAATAGAAAGTTGAATTCTTTCACTACTTGTGGCTCTGTGTCATTCAAATGTTAATTTCACAGTCAGCACACATTTACCTTTAAATGCGGCTGATGTTTCAAGTTACATGCTGCACAAAGCAGAGTTGAGAGATTCCACCTCATTTTTTTCTTGGAATATTTCAAGCAAGTTACTGTTACAAATCTACATGTTTTATTACAAGTAAGTTAGATAAGCACTTGAAGCTGTGTGAAATCAAGTACTTAACTTGCAAGAGTCCTGGATTTAGGATTAAATCTGCATATATATTTAATATGGAAAAAGTTTACCTTCTTATGCTTTGCACCACGGTAGTGGGACTGAAGACTTATAGCGCACATACAGTAAATGTTACAAACCTGAAAGAGAAAAATTGAAAGCACATCTTCAGTTATGCTATGAATATTCTGCCGTTAGTGAATTATAAATATGGAATACATCCGTTCCTACAGTGTAATCGTGTCATTCTCACGGTCTTCTTTGGCTCAAACAGTACAGTTTGCATGAATTTTAGGAGAACAGCTTACCATTAAATTTACAGAAATAGTATGCAAACCTGTTCAAACAATACTTAAACACATATTTAAATAAATCAGGTGGTAAGAAGTTTTTACGAGCCTCCCTCTTCTCTGCTACTAGCACCTTCTAAATTCTTAGTCTTCTAAAGTCCTCCAGGCTGGAAAGCCAGCAAAAAGGGATGATCGTGCAGAAACTAGAAAGGAACAGAGGCAAAATTACGCCCTAGAAAAACTGCAGCCCCGTTCATTGTTCATTCACAGCTACGTTACAGGGACCCGAAAAACAATGGAGGAAGACACGTGCATTTCATTAAGATCCACAGACATGCATATACCATTGCAATAATTAACAGAATGCAATACAGACGTACAAATATTTCTTACTATCTTTAACTTTTAAAAAAGCAACGACTAATGCATGCTAGTATTGTCTGTTTCCTTTACGTACTGTTGCAGAACTTGAATGAGCCAGAAAAACATCCAGCGCTACAAAAACACTACGGGAATGACGAATCTAACGCGTTCTGACCCGGAGCTGCAGCTTTTAGAGATAAATGAGCCTTTGCGGCCGCCCATCAGAAACACGCAGCAGAGATTGGAAAGGCTGCACTGAGAACTATCCACCGCAGCCGTGACTGCTCAGGAAGGGCCTGAATTCCCTGACCCAGCTCTCCCGGGGACCGGCCACGTTACTCCCCTCGGCACAGCCGCTCTCGTTCCAGGTGTGCCCGCCGCGCCCGGCTCGCTCCCCACGGCCGGGCGCAGTGTGGCTCCCAATGCCCGCACACCCTCCAGAGCCCACCGCACACACCCACTCACTTCGCAGTAAAAGTGCTTTTTCTCCGGCTCCGCTTTGCCATCTTCTGCCTTAACTTCCTCAGGCACGGCGCTCATCCTGCACGGCTGGGGGGGGTGGGGGGTGGGGGAAACAACAACAGCAAAAANGATCCACAGACATGCATATACCATTGCAATAATTAACAGAATGCAATACAGACGTACAAATATTTCTTACTATCTTTAACTTTTAAAAAAGCAACGACTAATGCATGCTAGTATTGTCTGTTTCCTTTACGTACTGTTGCAGAACTTGAATGAGCCAGAAAAACATCCAGCGCTACAAAAACACTACGGGAATGACGAATCTAACGCGTTCTGACCCGGAGCTGCAGCTTTTAGAGATAAATGAGCCTTTGCGGCCGCCCATCAGAAACACGCAGCAGAGATTGGAAAGGCTGCACTGAGAACTATCCACCGCAGCCGTGACTGCTCAGGAAGGGCCTGAATTCCCTGACCCAGCTCTCCCGGGGACCGGCCACGTTACTCCCCTCGGCACAGCCGCTCTCGTTCCAGGTGTGCCCGCCGCGCCCGGCTCGCTCCCCACGGCCGGGCGCAGTGTGGCTCCCAATGCCCGCACACCCTCCAGAGCCCACCGCACACACCCACTCACTTCGCAGTAAAAGTGCTTTTTCTCCGGCTCCGCTTTGCCATCTTCTGCCTTAACTTCCTCAGGCACGGCGCTCATCCTGCACGGCTGGGGGGGGTGGGGGGTGGGG